TGAGTGTGTGCATGGATGTGTGTAAGTGAGTATAGATGTGAGTGTGTGTACATGGATGTGAATATGTGTATGTCTGTGTGTGTCTTGGTCCTGTGTATCTTCTCCTAGACAAATGATTGGGGGTTAGGTTAATGAATTCAGAGCCTCATGCACCCTAATGCAGTGGTTCTCAACCTTCTTATTGCGGAGACCTTTTAGTACAGTTCCTCATGTTGTTGTGACCTCCAAACACAGAATCATCTGTAAATATCTGTGTTTTCCAATGGTCTAAAGCAAACCCGTCAAAGAATTATTTCACTGCCCCCTGATCCCAGGTTGAGAACCATCGCTCCATGAATCCTTGAGTCCCACTCCTCCATTTCATAGGGGGACCTGAGACCTGGGCAGTCGAAGGGCCCACCCAACTGCAGGTGATGAGAAGACTCACATAGAGACATTTTCTCCATGTCCAACCTACAGGATAGCGTCTGAGCTTCAGGAAGCAGTTACTACTGCAGTATCTTGAAAGGGACCCTAAGCCTTGAAGACTCACTCCTCTATTTCTTTTCCACTATCCACTGGAACCCACCATGACTGTGGCATTCTGTACATGTCTCAATGACCAGGTGGTTGATATGACAAAAAGTCATGGTTAGTGGAGAAAGTAAGATGAAGCCAGGCAGACCTCAGCCTGTAGGAGCCATGGAGGCCCCTGAAGGGTGTCTGAGAAGGACAGTCTCTCTTAACAAGGAGCGCTTGGCTGCTTCAGGACTCCTGCGGCTTTGGGGGCTGGTCTTTTGCCTTTAGAACTACCCACAGAAAAATTTAGCTTAATCTTCATTAGCTCGTGGTGGAAGGGAAGGTCTGAGAAGGGCAGTGACTGATGTATAGTCGGGAGCCCTGGATCCTCAGTGAGACATCAGGACCTCAAGGCAGGACCTCATTTAGACAACAAGATGTACACAAGCATTGCTGTCACCGTGCTGTGTGCTCAGTCAAGACTAGATGAATGTGTGTTCACACTTCGGAGCTATGCTCCACAGATAAAAGTAGCTTTAAATTCTGCATGAGAAGATAGAGCTGAATCCTTAACTCTCACTGTTTGAGTGAACTCGAAGAGTAGGGGCTGCTTGGCCTGTTCAGCATCTACACTCCTAGAGAAGAGGCAGTGTGTGTGTGTGTGTGTGTGTGTGTGTGTGTGTGCACTTGCATGTGCATGCATGCATGTACAGAGATTTAGTCTAGAGTTCAAAGCCTGTTGGATGATGGCCTTCAGTCTTTGCTAGCTTTGGACCCTGAGCCAACGAACATTTTTCTCATTTGTATCAACCTCATAAACACTCAGTGGGGCAAAGTTTGTCCCTATAAATGTTTACTTTAGAGACACACTGGGAATTCTTAGTCCAAGTCACATTAAAGAGGATTCAACTGGGACAGGGTTAGGGGACCCTTCCACTCTGGGTAAGATGTGGGCATGCTGGGAGACAAATTACCCCAGGTGCAAGGGATGACTGGGGGGACTGGCCTCAACTGCCTGAAAGAAAGTCCTCTCACTTTCAGAGGATGAGAATTTCAGACACCAAGAGCAGCCTGGTGGCATGTAGAGTCTTCATGTCACCTCACAAGGCTCCACTTGGAGGCTTTGTTATGGGAGGAACTGGACCCTAACCAATTTATATGTTGAAGTCCCTAACCCCAGCATGTTAGAATGTGACTATTTGGGAATGGGTGGCTAAAATGGTTAAGATAGAATAAACTGAGTGGTTAGAGTGGCCTTGGCCCAATATGACTGATGTCTAGATACATAGACCAGGATGTAGAAATACCGGAAGCTATGTGGGGGTGAACACAGGGAGAAGGAGACAACCCCCAAACTAATGAGAGAGGGTCTCAGAAGCCCCCAAGCTGCTGACCCCTTCATCTTGAACTTTGTTGTTGTTGTTTTGAGACAGGGTTTCTCTGTGTATCCCTGGCTGTCCTAAACTCTATAGACCAAGCAGGCCTTGAACTCAGAGATCCGCCTGCCTCTGCTTCCCAAGGGCTGGGATTAAAGGTGTGTGCCACCACCTCCCAGCTCATCTTGGACGTTTAATCCCCAGTCTGTGAAGAAAGTGTTTGTCCTATGATTGACTAGCCTGTGGATTTTGTTGTATCAGCTACAGCTCCTAATACAGGTTCTCCAAAGAACATGCCAGCAGCTGAGAGGGAGCCAGGACCAACACCTCCTCGTGTTCTTTCTGGGGACCCTGAGGAGGAGGCTTCGCCATTCCTGTTCTGAGGGCCCAACCTCTGTGGCCCTCACTACACAGGCCTGTCTTCTTGTGGGTTTATGCGGTAGGGAGATGGAGGGTGACTCTTCCCCATCCTGGGAAAGCCAGTCTGTTGACGGGGTTGGGGGCTCCTGGATCTGCCTGGCTCAGGTCACTCAGCTACCTGGATTGTGGGGAGTTTCACCAGTCTCAGCTTGAGTCCTGTGAAGCCTTAGCAGTCAGGCCAGGCATGCGCAAAGGAGCAGAGGGCAGTGCACATGCGCTCTGCCTTGCTGCTGGGATGGGTGTGGGGAAGCTGTGAACTCCTCCGCCTCTTGCCCGTGTCAACTCCAGCATGACACATGCACAAAAGGTACCTTTTACAGGTGGGAAATTATAGGTGCTTCTACTTCAAAGGCCTTGGCAACCAGGGCTCCTCTTTGATAGATGACAGTATTATTAACGGTGATTTATTGCTGGGGCCATTTTGACAACAGAAATAACCAGTTTCCCCACCTTCTTGGCTCCTTACCCCCCCCAACACCTTGTGGTGTCTTTTTTTTTTTTTTGTGGACTGGAGCGGGATGGAGGTTACCTCCCTATACAAGGAGGCTCTGGGCATCTGTTGAATGCACACAGTGAGGTATCTGGCTTATTAACTTGTCATCAGGTGTCATAAAGTTTAGTGAAATGCTGGCGGAGTGTAATCCTAAACAGGGCAATTACCCAGTTATTACAGCAGCTTTCTCCTGTCTCTCCTCCCCTCCTTTCTCCTGCTTCCTTCTCCCCTTTGGGTCTCTGCCCGCCTTCTTGGTTGTGTAGCTCTTATCTTACCTCTACCTGCCTGGCTTGATTAGTCAGAACAGAAGTCAACCCATTTTACAATCCCAGAGTGAACCAGGCTTTGACTAGGCACAGCCTGGAAGAGTTGGGCTCCTTACTGCTGCCGGAGGTGTGGGAGCAAGGTTGCTGAGCGAGGCAGGGACAGAGGCTAGCAGGAGTTTGGCTGGTTCTACTCCTAGGCAGTGGGGTAGAAGCTAAGACAGAGCTCACAGGGGCTAGACCATGATGCAGGCAGGCTTCCTGCCTTCTGGGATTTGTCTCCCCCTGCCTTTTACTTTTGCTTTCAGAGGGGGGTGGGAGTGATGTAGTAGGGACCTGAACAGAACGAAACACCTGAGCTGTGTCTCAATGTTGGCTGCCACGTAGCTGCCGCCATTCCGCCACCAGAGACCAGTTCCCCAGTCTATGAAACAGGCCGATCATTCCTGCCTTGTTGACATCACACAGGCTTAGAGAAGAGCAAATCAGTGGGTATCGAAGAGAACCACAGCGGTTAATCACTGTGCACATCAGAAGGTGACGGCCACCTCACACAGTGCCGCAAGGGTTGTTTTTGTCTAACTGCACCCCTGCTCTTAGTCCAGAGGAATAGAAGTGATATTTTTGACCAACCACGGGCTGCGCGTATGAGGACGGTCCCATTAAATGTATTGCCTGGTGATGTCACGGGTCATCTGAGTTCCTGCGGCGGCACTCCATATGCTGCTCACGTGATGCGGAAATCGTCTGACATTTGTCAGCCCATGCTCCTCCCGAGGAGCTGCCTGTTTGTCAACAGGAATGTATTCTGTTTCTTAAGGCTGTGATGACCCTGGTTTCTAAATCTTCCTGGCAGGTATTGTTTGACTCATGCTCTGAACAATGGGAGCTTTGAGACACACTCATGATAAATAGTCAGTACACGCACGGCACCGGGTTAAAAACACAATCCCGAACAGGCTGGAGGAAAAACTGAAATAAGATCTTAAAAGGTTCTTGGAGACGATCTAGTTGAATCATCCCATGTTGTAGTTTTGTAAATTATACTCAAAGAAGGTGAGGGGACAGCTTTCCTAAGAGCCACCGGGCAGAACTGGGACAGATGGCCCTCCCCTGGCTCCTACTGCAGCGCTATCCCCACACAAATATCTGTGTCTGAGTCCTTCTCTTCCTTGGAAGAAGCATCGTCATCAATTAGGGGCCAGAAAAGCATCTGCATCTATGCCTTAGCGTGGATTAGGTCAATGCTTTGTTCTTCAGGTGCGTGTGTGCGCGCGCATGCGTGCAGTGTAGGGGACGGAGCCCAGGGTCCCACACAAGCTAGCGAGCATTTCATTGCCCAGCTGTGAATTTCCTCTTGGGTTACACAGAGCTGGGCTGTGTTCCCTGTCGGTGGAACTTCTAGCACTGGTGAGAAGAGGGCAATCAGGGACTTAAGATCTTCACCCCTTAAATTCTTGCCACTTGCCTACCCCGTTGGGCAATAAAGGCTGGGCGCTGCTTCCTGAATTAACCGCTCAGTGTCTGCAGTCTGCGGCCTGTTTATCAGGTGTTGTTGGAGAACAGGGCTAGCTGAATGATGGAGTCAGACTGGCTTAAAAATGGAAAACCTGCAGACAGGTTTAAAAACAGAGAGCAGACAGATGGAGTGAAGTGGTCACCCCCCCAATACTTCCTGGTCTATTTTCTTCTTCCTTTTCTCATGGTTGGAGAACAATTACTAAGGCTCCATGAAGTGTCTGATACAGGCCGTTTCTAAACCACCACGGTGTGCCAGGCATGGTGTCGTGTCGTCTGCAGGGTAGCGAGGAAGACAGACCCCATTCTAACTGTTGGGGAAGTCCTGTTATTTGCCTGTGCATTTGTCAATAAAGTACTGTCTGGCCAATAGAAAACCTAGATAGGAGGGACTAGGAGTCGAGGAGGATTCTGGGAAGGGGAAACACAAGAGAGTCAACATGTGACGCCATGGGGGTAGGACGCCGGGAACTATTCTCCGGTAAGAAACATACTTAGATTAACAATTATGAGGTAATTACTTAAGGCAGAGCTAGCCAGTAAGAGACAAACAAGGCCAACAGCTTCATAATTAATATAGCCTCCTGTGTGTTTATTTGGGACTCATGCGGATCTAGAACCAGGCTGGCGCGGCAGAGCCCAGGCGACTGGCGGGGGATAAACCAAAGAGGCTAGCAAAAGAAAAAGCTTCTCTTAACATCTAACCCTGGGCAACTCCAGTCTAGGGTCACACACAAGGCAGGGGGAGAGACCTCTGCTGCAAAGCTGGGCCTCCCGGCTTTAGTCATTGAGTATCCCCGTGGCATGCTTTCTGGGGCTTACTTTGAGCATTTGGTAGAGTGCTTGGGGATTCTATTGAGAACATACTGGTGGAGCTTGCTGGAAATGCAAAGGGGACAGAGGGGATTTAGAAATCTTCTGAGAGAAAGGGAGACAGAGATGCTTTAGAGAAGAATCCTGGAGCTTGGCATGACATCAGGGCAGAGATGGACATGCAGAGAACCCAGTATAGAGGAGAAGGTAGGTGAGGCCTGGGGCTGAGACAGATGTTAGCTGAGCTGCAAAATTGTTTCCCATCCGGGCAAGGATGACAGAGACTCCTTGGTTGGCTGAGCTGTCTACCTGCCTGCATGGCTGAGAGAATTGGAGGTAAAGACCATCTAAGGCAGAGCCACTGCTTTCCCCTGCAATGGGGGTGGGGTACAGATTTGTCTCAGCGTGTGTGTGTGTGTGTGTGTGTGTGTGTGTGTGTGTGTGTGTGTGTGTGTGATTCTGATGCTGAGGCACTGACTGTCTCTCCTGGGTACTTTGCCAGGTCAAGTGCAGGTCACAGCTTCACTTTGCCCTCTGGAAAGTTAAAAAAAAAGATGCACGGTGTTCTCTCTGTGCTGGCAATTTCAGGTGCCTCAGCCTAACCGGTGATCAACTACTGTGTGATCTTGTACAATTCACTTCATCTCTGTGACTCATCTGGAAAGCAAGAGAGGACCCTCAACACACCACTCCACTGGGTTGCTGTGGAATAGTAAGGTGACATCATAGACAGCAGGTATTCTGTAAACTTTGCCACGATATACACTGGTTACTGTGTGTGCTTTGATAAGGACTCTGACACTGTTATCTGAATATTGACCTTCTTCTATAAGCAGAGTGCTTCTCACTCTGGGATGCCTAAAGGGACCAGCTGCCTGGTCAATTGAGCAGGATGGGCCCCTAATAGGGAGGATCTCTGCTCTTATGGACACATACACACACACACACACACACACACACACACACACCTAAATGTCACACTATACTATTAGGGAGGATCTCTGCTCTTGTGGACACACACACACACACACACACACACACACACACACACACACACACACCTGGATGTCACACTATACTATTAGGGAGGATCTCTGCTCTTGTGGACACACACACACACACACACACACACACACACACACTACTGAATGTCACACTATACTTCCTCCCACCCGAGGAAGAAACTGCTTCCAGTTCAGTCTGGAAGCACCTTACCCAGCGTGGTCTTGGCCAGCTCATCTGGGCAGGCCATAGAGGGGTCTAACCTGACAGGCAGCTCTTTGACAACACAGACTCAAGATAAGAGGGCTAGGTGGGTGGAGCCCTTTCTATCCCTGGATTGATAACTTGCTGTGTAGCATCAGCTCTTTAATTGCTAAACCAAACCTTTCCTCACCGTGGGAGATTGCAGCTGAACATCTTATCTGAACAGAGGCTATTTCACGGGCACACGTGGGTGTGTGCAGAGCGGAGAGGGAACGGAAGCATTGCCAAACCTCCAGGCTGTTCAGTCAGTCCACCCCCTTCTACCCCCTAAGGACGGGCCGTGCCCTCAGAAGTACATGTTAGGTGAGTTTTGGTCCTGAACCATCATGGAGTGTCAATCACTTGACATGGCCTCTTGAAGCCACCGAGGGACACCGTCGCCATGAGATATGTGAAGTTGCTGCTACAGCCTGTTCTTTTGCAGAGCACACACTGAAGCAATGAAAAGTAGAGTTTAATGAATGCAAACCCGGGAACACAGTTGATTGGTGTTGTCAAGAATCATGTACTGTGGGTGCTTCCGTTACTGACAACAGCACCCCCACCATTTTGCCACGACGTTACAATGGCTAGCATGTTGGGAATTCTCAACTGCATTAAGATAGCCATCCGAGCATGTGGGTTTTCATTGGCAAAAACACCACAACGGGTTTCACTTAGACATGCATGGGTTTTCTGTAGAGCCTAGAATATAGAACTCATGAAACATTGGCGGTGATGGCAACAATGATGTTGCCTAAGTAGGGATCTTGAATGCTCCCGCAAAGACCCCACGCTATAGGCTCAACTCCTGATCCTGACTTGGGAGGTGGTGGGACCCTGATAAGTGGGGCCTCATGGAAGGAAGTTATTAGGGAGTGTCCTCAAAGGGGATTTATGAATAACACTGTCTTTGTTTCCTAGCTGCCATAAGTTGAGCAGGATTTCTCTGCCACATGCTTCTACCACAACATTCTGCCTTAACGACAGCCCCCACGAAATGGAGCCAACTGACCATAGACAGAAACTCCCAAACTTCTGGTTCAAATAAAAGTCTCTTCCTTTTATCCAACATTTTGTCACAGAAATGGAAAGCTCACATAGCAGTGAAGATGCTGGCCTGGAGAAGGGACCCTGTGCATGTGTGGGTCCGTGGAGTAGAGCATGGACGTAGAAACCTTGGGTGCTGTCTACCTTACAGTTTGAGGCAGGGTCACTCCCTGGAACCTGAGACTTACTGATTAGGCTAGGTTTGCTGGCCAGTGAGCATCTGTAGGGATCTGCCTATCTCTGCCTCCCCAGTGCTGGGATTACAAGCACATGTCACCATAACTAGGAAAGCAATTTACCAATTGACACGCCTCTCTAGCCATTTAATAAGTTCTATTTAAGCTGATTAGTGTTTAGCATAGGCTCACTCTTTCTCAGGGCTAGGAAGGTTATTACTTGGGAGACGTACTGAAAGGGAGAACATGAAGGACGGGATAGACTCTTTGGAGACTTGGTCTAGTTTGGATACCAGGATGCACACATATTGTCTGGGAGGTGGGATGGAGAAGCAGGATGGAGTCCAAGATGGCCTCAAACCTGCCTGGGTCTCTGACTCAGCGTTGCGCTTTGCTGTTGAAAAATGGCAGGATGGAGGTTAGGCCTGAGCAGAAGTGGTGGCGTAGAGATGAGCTGAGCTCCTGTGCAAGGACAGGGTGGGGAGGAACTGGGATAGAAGTAGGGTCTGTGTTCCCATACCTTTGACTCGGGCACCTAGCAGGTCAAAGTAGAAATGCATGCCTGGCTGCCTTTGAGGGGATGGGTGTTAAAGCTCATAGGAACCAAACAGAGGTAAGAGTAGGGATGCTAAACATCCTGTTTCAGATAACTCTTGAAAGCTCTGGTACTTCCTTTAGAAGACATAGAGCAGTGTTGTTTATTTGTTTGGAAGCAAGAAGAAGGGATGCATTGGGGTTAGGAAGTTGCTAGTAGCTTGGTCAGTCAGGCCCCGTCAGCCAATCCCAGTGACAGATGGAGAGATACAGGAAGTGTTGTAGAATGATTTCACATCATTGTTTTATTTCCACATGGATCTATGAAACCTTTCTGTGTCTTTGTCCCTTTTTGGAAAAAAAAAGTTTATTGAGTCTTGGAGTCGCAATAGAGAACAATTTCTTATCATACAATTAACACCACAGCAACCAGTGCCATGATGAAGAGTGAGCAGGCCTTGCATACACCTGACAAGGTCTAGTGCGGGCGGCGTCAACAAAGGCTGCCTGGAGGAAGTCATGCTGAAGCTGAGATCCGAAGAGGGCGGGAGTGGGGACTGTCAGACACAAGGAAGGGGGAGCTGGGTAAGACGGGTTATGTTTCAGGAAGTGAGAGGACTCTGTCATGACTGGAGTGCTGAGGTAGGGACACCATCCCTGCTAGGCTTGGGAAAGACGCTCAGAATAACTGTCGAATGAACCGGTGGATGTGGCTAGAGAGGCAGGTGGCAAGTTGCTTGGGTCCTGGAAGATTGTGCAGTGATTTTGTCTGAGGCTGGTGTGGGCAGCCATCCCATAGTGCCGTAGGACTTTCCCTTTCGTGTTTGGAGATCTCAGTTGTAAAGCTGCAATGAGACAGAAAAGTTGGGTCCTTGTGGCTTGGGGCTTGGTGTGGGATGCCAGGATTATGAAGTCAAGGACCCTGACAGGCTTGTGTTTTGCATGGGTGGTCTCCATATGGGGGTACTTATTTCGAACTGTGGAGGTCTGGGGAGGGAAGACCCATTAGAGGAAGTGGGTCACAGGAGGTGGGTTCTTGGGGTCGTATTATCCCTGAGTGCTTCCTGTCCTAGCCATGATAGGAACCAGGCTTCTCTGCCAGGCCTCCTCCATGGGGGACTGAACTCTGAGGCCATCAAGTAAATAAACTAAGTTATTTCTGCCAGATATTTTCACACAGTGATGGAAAGACTAAGCATACAGTACTCAAAGTTAAGCATGCTGGGTAAAATGATTTGGAATTAGGGATACTGGCAAAGTAGAGCTTTCTTAAGCATGGGTAAGAAAAGTCAAGAAAGTGCAGCCAGTAGGAAGAGTTGGGAGAAAGGAGGGTAGGTCTGTGGATGAGGTAAAGAGTCAGAGGCTTTGGGAAGGATGTGTGAAAGACCAGACAGGGTGAAGGGAGAAGGCTAAAGAGGAGTAGGGCAAAGGTAACAACTGTGAAGGTGTGAGGGTACAAACCAGGGACCAAGTCCCCAGGCAGAGGTCAGTGTTGCCGTGGGTGACGCAGCACGGGGGGAAGGAGAGAGACCGGGAATTGAGGTCAATACCCCAGTGATGTAATGCAACTGTAAATCGTGCCAGTGGCTGTGGATAGCTGCTGACGAGGATGGGTAGGGAAGGCGTGTGACGTGGTGAGCGTGACAGTGAGGACGCAGAGCCTAGCAGGACCTGGTCTCCACGTTCAAGCGGGACGTCATTTCAGTCAAGGATAACCTACTTGTGTCCTTTGGGGTTACCTGGGTAGTTATCCCCAGTGCCAGCCAGGCAGCAGGCTTAGATGGTACTGTCACACCCAATGTGGCAAAAGTAAGCACTGCCCAGTGAAGACCCATGTCACCTGCATCAAGCGCCCATGGTCGTGTGGCAGAAAGGGAGGGTAACAGCAGGTGTCAGGGGGTCATGCTGTCTTGGGTTTGAATACCAACCCCACCAATTCCTGGCTACGAGGACTCGAACAGGCTTTTTATTTCCCTCCCCGTTTCCTGTCAAATGGAGTAGCAGTCTGCCGAGGGTTAGATGAGCTAATCCTGGTGACCAGACTCGGACACGTACCAGGAGATGAGCCTGGTGGTGGTTGTTACTGTTTCCACAGAACAAGAGAGTGGGATATTCTAGAGGTCAGGGGATTTGCCTAAGCTCACACATGGCAGTAACAGATTCCTTTCAAATGCAGTCAAGTTGACACTGGAGATTTGTGTCTCTAAGTCACATTGCTATACACACAACCCCGGTGCAACTACTCAGAAAAGGTCAGTTGTCCTTGTTCAACTACTAGTAAGTGGAGGGATCTGGGTGACCTTTATCAACTCTGTGTGTGTGTGTGTGTGTGTGTGTGTGTGTCTGTGTCTGTGTGTGTTTACATGTGCACACAAACATGTATGTGGTGGTTTGAAAAATATGGTCTCCATAGGCCTATAGGGAGTGGCACTATTAATAGGCATGACCTTGTTGGAGTTGGAGGAAGTGTCACTGGGGGTGGACTCTGAGGTTTCAGAAACTCAAGCTAGGCTTAGGTTCACTGTCTCTTCCTGCTGCCTGTGGATCAAGATGTAGAACCCTCAGCTCCTTCTTTAGCACCATCTCTGCCACCAGGCTTCCCACCGTGACAATAATGGACTAAACCTCTGAGCTGTAAGCCAGCCCCAATGAGATGTCTTCTGTTATAAGTTGCTGTGGTCATGGTCTCCTCACAGCAATACGACCCTAACTAAGACAGTGTGTGTGTTTGCACAAGCTGGGTGTTCTGCTCCTTCGTTCTCTGCCTTATTCCACCGAGAGAGAGAGAGAGAGAGAGAGAGAGAGAGAGAGAGAGAGAGAGAGAGAGAGAGAGACTCTTACAAAACCTGTAGAGAGGCTAGCAGCCAGCAAAAACCCAGTGACCCTCCCTTCTCTGCCCACTCACAGTCTTAATTTTTAAGCAGGTTCTGGGGATATGAACTCGGGTCCTCATGCTTGCTCAGCAAAAATTCTTACCCATTGAATGATCTCCCTAGTTTCTTCTGCCCAGTCTTTCCTGTCAAGCTCTAATTGGCTTCTAGTAGGCAGCATTGGTGGTGTGTGGACTCTCAGGGACTACTTAGTGAAAACAGGAGAGGCGACTCATTCACTAAACTTGCTGTCTGCCGGCTGGTTTCACCTTCCTAATCAGTCATGGGAACTAAGCTGGAGTTTAGTCACATGCAGTCGTGGCAGGGCATCCAGCTCCAGAGGCCATAGGTTGGAGCTTTACCACTACTGTGACTGTACATTCCGTCTGGCTTCTTCGTCTCCCATAAAACAGGGACAGCAATTGCCTGAGCCCCTCCTAAGACTGAGGCGAGGCCCAAATTAGATGATGTAAGGGAAAGTTCTTTAAGGAGGATGGCACACTGTCAAGTTCTAGGTAAGACATGCTTTCCCTGGAGAGGCAATCTGGAGTTGGTCCTGGGAGTCTGGCTTTTTCTTATCATGCCCATTGTGGGGCCTTGTGGGCAGCTGATCCCTGCTCCCCTCTGTGTTTTCCCGGCTCCACCCTGTCCTCCACAGCTGTGAGGTTGTGTACAGGCTCAGCCTCCTCAGGGGACAGAAGAATTGACTCTTTAGGCCAGTTGGGAGCTGCCTTTCTCTCCGTCCCTTGGGCACTGAGCAACGGCTTGGAGTAGTAGGAGAGGTTTCCCTGTTCTTGGCTTTGGAAATTACTCGGCTTGTGAATGCTAGAATGAGATGACCTGTCTCAGGACATCTTTGGGACCTGGTAGACACAGCCGTGGAGGAGAGGCAGGCCTGGGAGGAGGGTGGACATCACCAGCCCGTGTGAACTGAGTGATGGAGCTCTGTCAGGTTAAGTCTCTGTTCCCGGGGGTGTCAGAGCACAGGAAGCTCAAACTGGAGACCAAGGCTCCAATGTATGCTGCCATCAGTCATGCATTTCCTCTCTTGCTAGACTTGCAGCCACCCTGTCGCCTCCAGAAAAGCCTGGCTAGGTTCTCAGGAAGCCATCAGGCAACTTAGTCATGCCAGGGCATGGGAGTCTCTGTCCTTGCCTTTTCCAGGAGTACCCACAGGGGCTTTCTATAATACCCTTCTTATTTTTTATCTTTCTCAGAACCTAGTAGAAGCAACTGGAACTCCTGAGAGTCATGGATCTGGAAGGGGTCAGACAAGGAAGGAAGATGGGTTTATCTGAGCCCTGACAATAAACCAATTCCAAAGAATTCCTAACCAGTTTCATTGAGGTTACGAGGAGCCTTGAGAGTGGGAAGGGAAGTCGGCAGCTACAGAGTCGGATCTCCATCCTTTGCTGAGGAGGAAGTGACTCGCTCACAGGCCCAGAGCTAAGCTTTGTTTTTTGTTGCTACCCCATAGTCATTGTTCTTTGTAGGCAGGTGTTTTGTGACAAGCCTGCTTCCCTCAGCAGCCATGGGGGGACCTAGGGCAGCCTCCACATTGTGCATCAGTCTTTGGTGTATCAGCACACATCCTACCTGCGTTCTCGTGCTATGTCTCTGCCCCACCCCCCATCCTCAACTCAGCATTGCCAGCTTTTCCGCCATGTTGCCTCTTGAGCCTCTCCCTCCTTAGAATCCAAAGGGTCACCAGGAAAAAGGATGAAGGCTTGGGTTTCTCTAGTGTTACGGGCTCAATTGTGCCTGCCATATTGTGCCTGATGGAGGTCAGGCACAGAGCCTTCCTCACGGCCATCAGAAGAAACCAATACTGTTGATACCTTGACCGCAGACCTCCAAACTCCAGATCTACAGCAAACCTGCTTCCCCTGTGTTACCCCATTTGTCATGGCCACTCTAACTAGGTGACATGTTGTTCTACAGCTGCCTGGCTCCAGAATGCTTCCTGCCAGGGGCTTCCAAGGTCAAGGAGTGGTAAGAAATAACCTAACAATCTTGAGAGAGACATCTGAGTAACTAGAGAAATGGCTGGTTCTCCTTCTATGAGCCAGCAATTGTAGGACCCGGAAACCTGGGCTCAGTGGGCAGCTTGAGTAAGGACTGTGGTAGGTCTTCTGTGAATTGCTTCACCTCACTGGGTCAGTTTCTCTCTCTGTGGGATGGGACGAGTCATGCCTTTCTTATTTGCCTCACAGGTTGTAGTATTGATTAGATGATCAAAGTGTATGAGTGCTTTGTAGGCAAGTTAGTGACAGTGACAACGATGCTGGTGCTTTCTCTCCCTAGTGAGAAGGTTAATTTCCTGTCAGTCAGATTTTACAGAATTGTAACAAAACATTCGAAATAATCCATTTTTAAAGGGATGAAGGTTTATTTTGGCTATTTTGGAAGTTTCAGTCCATGGCCAGTGGTGAGGGGACACTTCATGACAGAACATGGCAGAAAATCTGCTCAGCTAATGATGGCCAAGAAAGAGAAGGAAGGGAAGGGACTGAATTCCATTTTTCCCCTCAAGGGCATGCCACCTATGACATGAAGACCTCCTATTAGGCCCCATCATGATGTTAAAGGTTCTGTCATATTCCAATAGCACTGAGCTGGAGCAGGCCATTAACACATGTACCTTTGGAGGACATTCCAGACCCAAAGCATAGCAGAACCATTCCTGGTAATGTCACACTGAACTTAAGGGCAAGTCAAGGTTGTTCTGAAATGTGGGAGCTATCATTACATGGGCCAAGGTCCCACACAGAAAACCATGTGCTGGAAAGACTCACCTTGCTCACTTCCTCAGTAAAGAGAAAACCCCAAATCAAGCAGTCCTCGGGGAAACATGAAAGTATCTTATATCCGAATCCAATGCCCTCCAGGTCTTAACTGTGTTCATAAACTGAAAGTGTATGTGTTTCATGGAAGAATTTATACACATACATTTTTACATATATTTCAAAAAATATATGTTCGTTTTGGCTAGTCAGGTGACTCAGTAGGTGGGAGTAAGTGTTTGACTGTGCAGCCCGATGACCTGTGTTTTGTTCCTAAGAACTGTGGTGAAAGGAGAAAAAACGATTCCTGAAAATGCTTATCTGACCTACACACATGTACTGTGGCATGTACATGCCTGTGCTCATGAACAGTCAAAGACAATAACAATACTAAAACATTAAAATTCCCATTGTCAACACTAAATACACATCCCTCTAGCCTATTTTATGTTTATATATTTTCTATGAAACCAAATTCTATTGTGCATAATTTATTATAGCTTATTTTTAAAGTCATCCAGGTGGGCTGGCAGGATGGCTCAGCAGATGAAGGCATTGGCCACTCAGCCTGGTGACCTGAGTTTGTTTTTAGGGACCTATGTGGTAGAAGAATCTAACCAACTTTTGGAAGCTGTCTTCTTACCTCCTCGTGTGTGTCCTGAAACGTGTACGTGCACACATGGAGTAAATAACTAAAATGTAATTTTTAAAAAGCCAACAGGTCAATGATGCTTCATAAATATCTTCCATATCGTCCTAGATCCTTTTCCAGTAGGACTTACTGAGAAGTTCCGGCAGTCATGTCTAGAATACCCCCAAGGTGAGAGAAGGGGAAGGCTCTCCTGGATCTTGGTGTGTGTGTGTTGAGTGTATGGGGGGGGGAGGTGGGCTGCAGAGGGGATCCTGGATTTAGTGTCAAACAGGACTCAAGTTCAGATGTAGCTCTGCTGCTTCGCATACTGTAAACAGGAAAGGCAAAGCTGTGGACACATTACATTAACGGTGTCATCACGCGTAAAAGAACTTGGTAACTGTCAGCCATTGTTTCTAAAGTCCAGCTAAATAAAGGATATATTGTTGGTTGTGCAGGGAAAAATATCAAGTCTTGAGTGGGGGGATGTCATAAGGTACCATGAACAAATGGGAATATGACCCGAAGAAGGGAGTTTGAAAAGAATCATACTTTAATTTTGACATGTGATTTGGACTATGAGAACAAAATGCATGAAGAGGCCAACAGGTTCCAATTTGGGGGAGAATAACTTGTAAAGGTTCTGAGACAGGGTCTTATGGAACCCTAGCATCAAATATACTAAACAGCAGAGACTGGTCTTGAACTCCTGATCTTCCTGCATCTACCTTCTGAGTGACGTTCAAGATGTAAAAAGCCTAACACGCAAGGGCCTTTGTTCATTATGCACTGGGCTCGTGTCTAAGCAAATGCCAACTCAGTAAATCCTTTAACGCAACTCTGTGGGATGAATAGAATTGTAATTCTCAATATATGGAAAAGGATACTGAGGCACAGAAAGATTGCAGTCACACAGCTTGGACCGTGAGCCCAGTTTAGCTTTCACCTTGGACTGAACTCATCTGGGCCTAAGTAGTGCATGCTGGGAACTAAGGCGTTCTGAAATAGACGGAATGTGAGGACGCTACCATACTGTCTGTTGTCCATGTAGAGACAATGGCAGTGAGGGAGTAGTTTTCCTAACACACAGGAGAGGCCTAGAAGATGTTTTGATTTGTGGCAACTTGGGAAGTGCAGGGAAGAGGAAGAGAGGAGGCCGTTGTGTCCAGCCGCTTATAGAAGCTGAGGAGGTGACCAGCAGGAAAGCTGTCTGCTCCTTGCTCCTGCTGTTGCCTGGCGCATCCCACACTACCAGCCTGGTCAGGAGGAGCTGCCACTGCTGAGCTCTCTCACTGTGGTCTGAGAAGCAGCCTGGGGCCCAGTGTGGCGCATCCCACACTACCAGCCTGGTCAGGAGGAGCTACCACTGCTGAGCTCTCTCACTGTGGTCTGAGAAGCAGCCTGGGGCCCAGTGTGGGCATCCCACACTACCAGCCTGGTCAGGAGGAGCTACCACTGCTGAGCTCTCTCACTGTGGTCTGAGAAGCAGCCTGGGGCCCAGTGTGGCGCATCCCACACTACCAGCCTGGTCAGGAGGAGCTGCCACTGCTGAGCTCTCTCACTGTGGTCTGAGAAGCAGCCTGGGGCCCAGTGTGGCGCATCCCACACTACCAGCCTGGTCAGGAGGAGCTGCCACTGCTGAGCTCTCTCACTGTGGTCTGAGAAGCAGCCTGGGGCCCAGTGTGGCGCATCCCACACTACCAGCCTGGTCAGGAGGAGCTGCCACTGCTGAGCTCTCTCACTGTGGTCTGAGAAGCAGCCTGGGGCCCAGTGTGGGGCATCCCACACTACCAGCCTGGTCAGGAGGAGCTACCACTGCTGAGCTCTCTCACTGTGGTCTGAGAAGCAGCCTGGGGCCCAGTGTGGGGCATCCCACACTACCAGCCTGGTCAGGAGGAGCTGCCACTGCTGAGCTCTCTCACTGTGGTCTGAGAAGCAGCCTGGGGCCCAGTGTGACGCATCCCACACTACCAGCCTGGTCAGGAGGAGCTGCCACTGCTGAGCTCTCTCACTGTGGTCTGAGAAGCAGCCTGGGGCCCAGTGTGGGCATCCCACACTACCAGCCTGGTCAGGAGGAGCTGCCACTGCTGAGCTCTCTCACTGTGGTCTGAGAAGCAGCCTGGGGCCCAGTGTGGCCCTGCCCTGGAACAAACTTGGTTTTGGGTCTCCTGGTTCATATGGCAGCCACAGCTGTCTGCTTTGCCTTCCTCTTCTACCCATGCTGGCCCCATGCAAGCATAGTGTGTCAGGTGATAGGCAGAATGGGTGGAGGGAGTGGAGATCATGGGATGGCACTCTCTTGGGGAGTGTGTTTGTCTGTTTCCCATGACTATGACAAATACTAACTTTCAAAGATTCATTTGGGCTTGCAGTTTTGGAGGTTTCTACCCACGCTCAGTTGGGCCTGTTGCTCTGGGGTCTGGCAGCACACCCCAGAGAGTGCACAGTGGATAAAACCACTCACCCCATAGCCAAGGAGTTGGAGAGAGTGGGTTCCACAAACCCTCTTGGAGGGCAGACCCTCAGTGACCGGAAGACCTCCCATCAGGCTCTACCTGGTTAAGTGTCTACAAATCTGGAACCAGGCCTTTAGCGTATGGAATTGGGAGGGGGTGTTCTAGGTCTACACTATATGGGGTAGAGGTTGTCCTTGTGTTCTCAAGAGGCCTGGAGGGAACTTTGCCCGTCTGTTGTGCTGTCAAATGTGGAGTGGAGAAGAGGGTGCCACGGTGGGAAGCTGCTGGGGGGAGGCTGACCCTCAGATGATCTGGGGCACCACACAGCATTGTGTGAGGAAGGAAGGCCATCAGAAGAGTGCCTGTCTGTGCTCTGTGAACCAGATCCAAAGCTTCCCCTGGGCCTTCTGGGGTACCTGGGATACTGGTCCCCTGCATTCACTGACACTGCTTGGACAACTTCTGTGGGTAACGGTCCCAAGCTTACATTCCAGGGATGGCAGTAGCAGGATGGAAGGTGCTGGAATTTTCCTAGCACAGTGGCAGGGTGAGGTGGTTGCAGGGAGTGGATTCGTTCAGTGGGTTCAGGTGTCAGGGCCTGGGGTCTCCTATCACAGCCCATACCTGCAGACCACAGGAAAATGGACCAGTCACCACCTTGTCAGATCAATGCCAGGCTCAAGGACTAGGGAGGATGCTGGGACTGTCCCAAAAAGTTGCATGGATACTGTGTGCATGATACCTTGCGGACAGATGGTGCCCATAGAGAACTCTGCCTCTTCCCCACTGTAGGATCTTTCCTATGGAACACACAGACACACACAAACAGACAGACACACAGCCCTACATCTGCCCTACTGCAGGTTCTTCTCTACAGAGAGCACGCGCGCGCGCGCACACACACACACACACACGCACGCACGCACGCACGCACGCACGCACGCACGCACGCACGCACTTCAAGACCTGATGTAACTTAAGAGACAATGAAGTTGGAAAGAGATGTAAACAGATCAAACTAGAGATGGGCGTACAGTAGGTTCTCATGTACCCATCTCCCAGACCCATGGTCAGCATTTCAGCCCATTTGCTCCACCCCTCCTCAGTACACTGTGGCAGTCACTCAACATTCTCCGAATTTCTCTCATCACGCCTCCTCTCTCTCCCTCTCTCCCCCTCACAACAGCACTGCTGAGTTTTACCAGATGGTTATGATTATTCTCTTTTTACAAAGACAAGCCCTGTTTCAGAGAGGCAAAGAAAAGTTTCCAAGGTCATGGAAGTGAGGCGGTGGCAGCGCCACACACCGGGCCTTCTGGTACCTAACAGTGTATGCATCCCTAGTCCCTTTCGGTCTTGTTAGGATGCCTGCAGGGTGCGTGACTTGTTGGGGATACAGCTGATTTTGGGTCTCTGGGAGTCTTAGCTTACTAGGTTAGGCCTTCATTTTAGCCGTGTGTGTGTGTGTGTGTGTGTGTGTGTGTGTGTGTGTGTGTGTGTGTATGTGTGTGTGTGTATCTGTGTGTGTGTGTGTGTGAGAGAGAGTGAGTGTGTGTGTCCCCATGTCCTGCCCTGCTGCCAGGCCCTAGGATTTGGGGGATTAGGGAGAGAAGAACAAACCCTGCTTTCCTGGGCCACTTTCATCTGTGGCTTCCTTGGATCATGACTATGGGATGTTTATGAAACTCTGAATCAATTTGAGGCACAGGGACTTTCAATCAGGGAAGCAGATTGCGCTGATAGGGTCAAAAGGCCTGTCGCCAGCAAGGATCGCGGCATCTGACATATTAATCTAGGCTGTCATGATCAATATGTGTAACAGAGGTGTGGAGGTACAGGCCCTGCTTCTGGAAGGGAGTGGGGGGAGGAGGGGAGGGGATACCACCCTAGGAGGGTCTGACATTTCACAGATTCCAGCAGAGCCAGCCTTGCCTGCAGCTCAGCCTGTGACCACTGGAAAGGGCAGGGGGCCAGGCTGGAGGTGGTGGAGGCTCTGAGCGTCACAGCAGGGGCCTGTAAAGTTTACTTGGCTTGCTGTAGACACAGTGCTCTCTCCTCTTATCTCCCCCCCCCCCCCAGTGACTTCCAAAGCCCCCTTGCTGGCACAGGAGGCACAGCTGAGCCCCAGCAGGAAGTGCCTGTTACTTGGAGCCTTTGATGGTAGCATGGGATCTGGCTAACCAGAGTTCAGCGCCATAGCACACTTCGTGCCCATAGCACTGCTTTTCTGCCTCCCGTCTCCCACCTCTCTCGGGGTCCCCACATTTTTTTTAACACTCTGCCCCTCCAATTGCCTCCAAACTTTGGTGAGAAACTGTGCCATCCCCTCAAGGCCCATTACTTCCCTTGGACGGAGCTGGATGCGGATGCTGGTGTCTGAGGATCCATGTGAGGACATGGCGTGATATGTCTGTCTATACATACAGCTGCTGAGTAAGCAGCCCGAGCATCTGGTCTTCTGGGATCACACACATGAGCCTGGGGAAGCTCAGTGGTCCTCACACTTCTTATGCCAAATGAATGCAGTGAGTGCATGAATATAATCACAGTGTGATCAAATCACAGCAGGGTGCAGGGGAGGTTGCTTCCATTTCTGGGAATCCCTTGGGTACTGGGCCTGGCTGTACTGGTGATCTCTGTGTTGGTGATCATGTAAAGAAAGAGCTATTCCCCATCCAAGAGAATGAAATTCATACTTATAAAATTAGGCGAACAGATAGCTTTTGTTACCTCTCAAAGGTGACAGTGTCCTTAGAGTGACACCTGGGCAAAGATTCAGATGCTTGAGTGCTTGCACAAGACCAAAGTCCCTGATGGGAGGTGGGAGAATTCAGACTCCTGTCACGGTGATCACAAACTAGCAGCCACCTGGACTAGCCTCCATCATGCAGAGCTCTTCCTTGTCGTCATGGCTAATTTTGATTGCCAGCTTGATTGGATTACTAAGTGCCTAAGACATCATCAAGGCACACCCAGGGGTGTGTCTGCACAGGCATCTCCATAGACCACTGAATGCTGAGGCCACCGACATATTGAACGGGTTCCACCCTTGATGGAATTATACTGCGGCATTATTGGAAGGTGGTAAAAGGTGAGAAGTAGGAGTTATTGGGGGATGTAGGTCCCTGGTGGTGTCTTTGGGGTCCCCAACCTCTGTCCTTGTGGCTGTTTTTCTATCCTTTGACCGTCATGAAGCTCCTGTACCACAAACTCCTGCTGTCATGATATTTTGCCTAACGGCAAGCCAAGACACATGGGTCCTAGGGATCATGGACAAGACTCTCTGAAATGTGAGTCAAAAGAATTCTTCCCTCCCCCTTTTAAATGTCAGGTATTTGGTTACAGCAGTGAGAGAAGTAACTCACACCCATGGGTAAGATGGCAGCTTCCCTGGGCAGTAGTGTTAGAAGGCCTCCTTTGGGCATTTGAAACTCCATCTACTCTCAGATGGGTCTCCTCTCAAATAATCTAGACCCTTGCTTGTCAAATGTAAAGTGATTTATGATTGTATTTTACCAATAAATTTGACAATTGGACTTCAGTAAAATTAAAATAAAACTTGAGGGAATCAGTTGTGTACTACATGCCATAGCCATTTGAACCTCAGATCATGGTCTCACGATGGTGAATGGACGAGAAATAACTGATAGTAATGGTGTGTGTCAGGTATAAAAAGTGCTCTTCTGCTCATACAGTTGTTAAGGTGATTGTCAGAAAAAACAAGGGACACAAGTTTGACATCCATAACAAGCACTAAAGAAAAGACTAGGTGTGGTGGTGTACTCTTGTAGTCACAGTGCTGGGCGGCAGAGACAGGAGGATCCATGGGGTTCTCTGGTCCACCAGTTTATCCTACTGGCAAGTTCTAGGTCAGTTAAGAAATCCTGTCTCAAAAATAAAATAAAATTCAAAAATAATAAATAGAAAGAAAAAAGGGGCAGATAGTACCTGTAGAATGACTCTTGAGAGCACACCTATGAACCTGCACTTAATGAATAGTTGTGTATTCACACACACACACACACAGACACACACACAGAAACATACGCACACAAACACATACACCCAGACGCAGAGATACAGACACACAGACATACAGACACACACACACACAGACACACACACACACACACACACACACACACGTTGAGGGAATTAGTTGTCTACTTGATGCCATAGCCGTTTGAACCTCCGATCATGGTCTCATGATGGAGAATGGTCGTGAAGTAATTGTTAGTAATGGTGAGTAAGTCAAGCAGAGTGTAAAAATGTATCTCTGTGAGTATCTGATTATAGTTAGGGAAGCACAGAAAAAGATGGAAAGAAATACACACTAGGAGGAGTGGATGGGGGGAAAGGGGGGTGAATGGAGCAACTGGGAGGAGAGGTGGAGGGGATATAATATATGAGAGAAGAATAAACAAATAAAGACAAAATAAAATGAAAAAGGAAATACACACTTTTACAAATGGTTACCACTGAAACCTTTAAACCCCAAGGTAGACAGAACCCTTGAGTTCCTTTGTTCATGGTCCTCTTAGAGGCTCCTGAGAACCCATCTCTCATTGACATGGAAGGACACATTGATTTGTGGCAGCCTCTGTAGTCCTGTTCTTGAATGTTGGCCAGTGTCATGAGGGGGACAGAGGGGAATATATCACTGTTGCTGTTCATATCTTGATCGGCTCTCAAAGGCCGGTGTGTTAAAGGCTTGGTCCTCGCTCACAGTGGCTCTCTAAGGAGGTGGTGAACCTTTGAGTGACGGAGCCAAGTGGGAGGTCTTGACGTCACTGGGTTGATACCCTTGAAGGTGATTGTGGGAATTATGTGTTTGCCTTGCCCCAAGCCCACCACAGCTTGGAATCTCCCAATTGTGAGCCTACACAAATGTTTTCCGTTCATGAGTTGATGGGCTGAGGTATTTGTTGTGGGGAAGCCGACTGGCATGGTCGCTGTTCTCACTTGAGATTTCCTGCATCCTGCCCACGAGTTCAGTATGATGGGATATGCTGTGAACACTCCATGTACATCTATGTTCTGAGCTGTGCAGCCTTGAACAAGCTGGCCTCTTTAGGACTCATGTTATTCTGAAGTGAGAGAGTCATTGTGTTGACCTCTTATAAAGCGTCACAAAGTTGAATAAGAACTCAGGTAAGATGCCAGGCACAAGAAGTACTCAACCACATTAGTTATTCTTATGCAGGAAAGCCTGGAAGAGTCATAGCTCTGATGGCTCTGTAAGTTACTGGAATTTAAGGGAGGGCCCCCTTCCCCAGGTGCTCCGGGGATCACAGCCAAGCCAGGCAGTCTCTGCCTCCTTGACACATGTTTTCCCCATCCAGTTTACCTTGGCACAAAAGGACAATTCATGGGTATGTTCACATCCTGGCCCTTGACATCAATCTTCCTTCCCAGGCATGTGGTGACAGCGCCTGGGTCTACTGGACTTTGGACTCGGAGTCTCCCATTAATGTGACTATAGGAAGAAAAACCTGGTGTGTGTGCCTTTTCTGGAAGCACGTTTTGGGGGGACTGAGTGAGAGGTGGGTGCCTGACCAGAGGGAGGTGGGAGAAAGATCATCTTGTGATCTTAACATTGAGGGTTTTGCCAGCAGCCAGGCATAAAAACGCACGGGCCAGCCATCTTCCAAGGGCCATCCTGTGCCAGCACTGCCTCCAAGGGAGCCAGAGGAGGCTGTCTCTTTCACAGGTCTAGACTAAGGCTTGTCTTGGCCCTGGGGAGGAAGGGAGTGCTTATGTGCAAAACTGGTGTTGGGTTGGATTTTGTTTTCTCAAGTATCACATTTTCCCCTTCTTGCACTAAACAAGTGCATACTGCTCACCTTTTGGTACCCATTCCCAGAGCCAGTGATCTATTAGATTGACTCATCCAAGCAAGTCTTTCTCTTGGGTTCCGTTGAAGTTTTAATTCCCAATTGAGTTCCCAAGAGTGGACAAAGATAATCATCCTCTCTCTTTCCCAGACATTCAGACTTTGGGTCAGAAGCCACAGTGAAAAACAAAACAGCCTCAGGGAAATGTGCTTTGGTTTTGGATGCCGCTAGAGAGGCCGTGGGAGTGTGATCAAGGTTTCTTCACTCACTCATTGATTCATGTGGAAAGAACTTATTGATCCTTTTCAGCAACAGAACCAGTGTCTGCAAGATCAAACCCGTCAATGATTCCAGCATGGGTTTAGGGAGAGGGTCATGAGGCTCTGCCCCTAGCTGGGGAGCTGCTGGGAGCTGCTGGCTGTTGGGAGGTACTTTGGGTGGGTAGGTGGGTGCCCACTGGTAGCTTGCTCATGCTCATGCAAGCAGCATCAATTGGACTTAATGGGTTATTAAAAGAACAAAGGGACATGGATATGGAAGGACATGTGTTGGGGGTGGTGTATGAAGTTGGGGTGAATATGATCAAGTTAAGTCATAAGTATGAAATTGTCGAAGAATAAATAAAAATCTTTTAAAAAAGAGCTTCTCTGCTTAATGAGGTCATTATCAGAACCATTTTTTAAATAAGGATTGGAGCTGAAGCTCAGAGAGATGCATTTGTTTACCCAAGGTGTTCATGCTACTGTGGGTGTTGGCTGGTATCCCAGGATCCTCATTTCTAACCCATGGGTCAATCATGTCCTCGCTACATGCAGCATTTATGGAGAAGCATAGGCAGCCCTGAACTTGCAAATGAGTTGTGTTCTTAAAGTTCACTGGAAAGTCAGTTGTCTGGGACTTTTTCTCAATGGAAACAGCAGTGCAGATGTTGGCTAGTTTTCCACAGCAGCCTACTGTAGCCTGTTTAATCCACAGTGTGCTAGAATTATGGAACTACCTACCTTACTTTGTGTTAGCAGATTGCAGGAACAGGATATTTACTGCTAACAGGACAGACGAGTCCTCCGTGGGGAATGAGTCTACCAACATTGCACAAGTGGAAGACAGAGGTGGTGAGTGAGCGTTTGGGTAAAGAGTGGATAACACCAGTGTACCTCAATCTCATTACAGGGCAACGGCCACAGATGGTTTCCAATCTATAGTTCAGGCTGCTGAGTTCATTATATAGCCCAGGATAGCCCTGAACTCTGTATGTCTTTCCGGCACCAGGAGATGGCCACACTCCATGATGCCTGTTTTTTGTTTGTTTTCTTTTCTTTTGTGTCCCCAACACATAACACAGTGTGTGTGTGTTCCATAAATTATTGTTGAGTTAAAAAAACAGACTACAGTTTCATGGATTTCCAAAGGAAGATGCCCTCAGACACTTGCTTGCAATCTGGTTACTACTATTTAGCATGCAATTCCAACAAGCCTGTTTGTTTAGTTTCCAAGCCCATTTTATTTAGAAACAAGAAGATGAAAAGTGATGTAGACCGATCACATAAATGACAGTGAGAGGTGGCCAGCATTAAAGGAAGAGACAGGAAGACTTTAGTGCTGACAGGAACTGCAAAGGCACCGTTGCCTGCGACCATTTATCTTAGCAATCCCCGGAGTCATTATTGCAAAATAAACATTAGTTAGTGCTCTATAATTTATCACTCCTATTTAAGGATGGAGGGCAGTACGTGTGGAAATTGTAGGAAGCTTAATAAAAAGTTATTCTTTTTTAAAGAAATAAGCTCTTGTTATCTGGGAGAACATTTTAGATCATGGAGCACCCTGACCTATGATATTTAAAAAGCTTGACTATTATACTTAGTCACTGTACAGGCCACTTGGAGCTTTTGTCGGTACTCTCCTCATTTTCTTACTGAAAATATAATTGAATAACAAATAGGAAAACTCCACATTAAAGCAAGGAAGAAATGGACCTGACTTGGTGACATAGGTCTGTAATTCCAGCTATTAGGGAGGCTGACACAAGAGGACTGAATTATTTTGTCCAGCCTGGATTACACAGTGAAATTCAGGGTCCTGTCTCAAAGTGACAAATAAAAGGGGGTTGGGGAGATAGCTCAGAGTTAGTGCTTACCTAGCATGTATGAGAATCCAGGTTTAACCTTCTCTCTCTCTCTCTCTCTCTCTCTCTCTCTCTCTCTCTCTTTCTCTCTCTCTCTCACACATACACACACATGTGTGCACACTTGCATACACACACACAGAGTGTTTCTCTGAAGGCTCCATGGGCCTTTTCTGGGGCAGTAGGTAGGGAAGACACACTTTCTGTAGAGTGTACATGTTTAGGAGGATGGTATTTGATGACAAAATATTGGATTCAGGTCAAGAGAATTTTTCATTAAGAAATAAGTTCATCTATGCATTTAATTGTGTAACCTTGGATAACATATTAGCTACCCTGTGGGTAAGAACCTTCTTGATATAGTTCTGAGGTTTAACTGAAATAGTGTGAAGGACCTGATAGTGTGTTTGCCACATAAAATATACTCAACAGACAGAATCACCTCTTCTGGTTTCCCAGAGTCATCCTCTCCCATCTGTTGTGGCATTTATACAGATGTATGTCTGTGTGTCTCAATGCCTAACAACTCTCCTTTTCAGCACCTCATTTATTCCCTGATTTTCTCCATGTCTGATGAACAGGTGGGTAGATGGACATCGTCTGAGAATATTTCACAAATTTCAGCTAGATATTTGGCCACTTACCCTTAGGTCAAGTACCAGTGATAAGCGTTGTGTCTATGGACAAATGTACTTTGGATGTGTCTGATTCCATCTGGACTCCTATGATAAAAATACCATAATAGTCTAGGTGGCTTAAATACGTCTTCCTCAGGAAGGGCTGTGGATCTCAAGATGAAGGCATTGGTAGAATCGATGTTGAGTGACGGCCTACTTCCTACTCCCTGGGTCATTACATGATGAAAGATATAAACTATCATTCCAGGGTTTCCTTAATAAGGAATCTTATTCGCACCCTCATGACCTAACCACATCCCAAATAGTCCACCTCCAAACACCAGGATGACATCAGGGGTTATGTTTCAATATATAAATCTGGGGGCTACCAAGCATTCATTCTGAAGTGGCTTGGAAATGGGAAATTGAATAAGGCTCTCTGTACCCCACTCCTTTTGCTGTGACCAAACTATCTACTAGGTGAGGGTCCAGGTGAGGCAAGGTGCACTCACTGAGCAGAACTCTCAAGTCTGTCACCTGCCAATGCCTGGGGACAGAGGCCAAAGATTTTACACAGATGGTTCATATGCCTTAATGATTGCATGAGTTTGAAGGTTGTAATGAGAACTTATGCATGACCCAAATACTGTGGAGAACAAGGCCCATAGCTGCTGGAAATATTGTGATGACATGGCTTAGTTCCTCTCTGGGCATTGCTGGTGAGGGAAGGGGACTGTCTCACACAGGTTGTGTCCCCTCTTTAGAGGAAGTCCTTATCTAGTAGCTTGGCAATATGTACTCTTGTCTCAATGTGGGATGTCTCTGAACACCATCGTAGCTCCATGGCATTGACTAAGGTCCTTGTTTATGTCTACATGCAGATTGACTTCAGCTTCTAGCCAACCGGCATCCTTAATTCTACAAAACCACTTTCCAGTGAGTCACCTACAGGAATATCACACCCTAAAGTCTGTTTCCTGGACATAGACTTGGAACACTGGGTATGGGGATGAGGTGCTGGGGAACAGATGTTGAAACAGGACCTGGGAGATGAATGATCCATTTACCAACATCTGGTGAGGGTCCTGTCCCTGAAGGTACACAGAGGGCTAGCAGAAGAAGGACCTACTTAGACAATTATAGTGTCTCAGGTATTTGAGGGGCCTGTGGACAGTGGCAGCTAAAAGGATAAAGGGAACCTAGCAATGAATGCACTGGTGACAGAAAATGAGAGCCTGATCACCATCTTCAAAGCTTCTTTAGATAACATAAGAATCAGTACTTAAGGTCAGAAGGTAGAAAGAGGCAAGAGATAGGCTCAGGGCTTCAACATTAGGATGGTAGAGCTCCAGAGAAAGCTGAGTTCTCAGCTGTAGCTCATCTCTTGTGAACCAATCAAGCTCTACTGGGAAACAATGGGTCTGAGACTTAGGATGGGGACATTCGAGTTAGTACACTAAAGAAATGTCAAGTGCCAGTCTCCTCTGAACCACACGACTACATGGAAGCAGTTCATTCCTTATGGTTCAAGGCTAACACTTCCTACGTGCTTGAAGACAATGAAGATGCCTCTGTCTTCCAAGACAGTGTAGATTCCCCCAAGACTTAATTTTCAGTCCTTCTTGGCCACCAGCCTAGGAGCTAGGCATAAGGTTGTATAAAACAAGCTTTTGTAAAAATGGTTGGTCTGCTATGGAAGAAAAGGATGCTATCCCAAGGAGCTGTAAGATTTACCCACTATGTACCATCCTGTGACCAGGTGAGTGTGTGGAGGGCTAGTTATAAACATGCTAGGTCAACAGAGAGAAAACATACAGAGAATGATGAGTTGTGGAGGTTGGTTTGTTTTTGCAATGGGAGCATGTTCTAGTTCAGGACTTAACCACAGAATAAGGACGGGAAGACTGAACTAACATGCTGCTAGGGTGACTCCTGGGTATTTGAGAACTGAAGGTCTATGTTCAATGAAGGAGAAGCTCTAGGCAGTGTGGGGAATCAACAGGTTTATAGAATTGAAAATTATGCCAGAGTAGTGCTACCATGATAGAACACCTTTCACTTATGATCCAAAAATCTACAGAAGGGGTGTCTCAGGATGCTGCCCCATTTATCAAAGTGGTACCCTAATCACCAAGTGCCATGAAAACACTAAGAGTTGGAGGTTGTCTGTGGGTTAGGAATAACGACATAGGATGTTGTTGTAGGATTTCACCTCCTTATACTAACATGGTGGAAAGATCCATAAATAGGAAAGGGCAGATGATGTCAATTAAGAATCAGAAGCAAAGTAGTCACAATCATCATGAGGAGCAAGGCAAGATGTCACAGAGATCTAGTAACAATCACTATAACATGGTCCCTAGGGACAAGACAGCTAAGCTGAATGTCCTACAAGGGTATTACAGAATCTGTACAAGTGAGAGGTGCTTCCTCAGGGAACCGAGGCCAGTGCCCTGATAAGTTATTATTCCTCCCCCAGTTTCTAGACCTGAGTCAGTGTTTGGAGCTGGGATACATCAACTGAAAGAGAGATCAGGTCTCTAGGAGAAAAGACCCTGAGATACCATAGTAAATACGGTATCTATGATTTCTTCAATGCTTTCTCAAAGGCACATCCTTATCTCAAGGAGCATGGGTTGCTCAGAATTGCCAATGACTTTTAGAGACAGGATCTGAGCTGACAATGACACCTGGAAAATAAGCAGATCAATGTCTTTCTGGTCAAGTTTCATTCACTCTGAGTTCCCTGGTGTCTCAGGCGCTCCCCCCACTGTGTTCCTTGAGGCACAATTGAAATAGACTTGACAGAAGACAGCAGGATTATAACTTTGGCTCTTTATCCTGTTGGGAAGAGCTATTGAAATGGGAATGATCGAATGGCCTCTGACTCGTCCCCCAC